CCCCCCCCCCAACAAGGGATGGTGACTTATAGTTCTGCAAAGGACAAAGGTACCAGACTGCACAATAGGGGTTAAGTCTTGGTCAATTTGCCAACGCCTTAACAACAATGAGGACCCCATGAAACTTTGGGAATAGCTAGACCTTGGGGTCTCTGCCTCTCTCGGGAGCTGTAGTTCTCCAAGGACCGGAAGCAAAGCTTGTTTCCAGAGACACCAGGCCCATTTGGGCCGCTCAAGAACTCCTGCCAGGACCTTTGTGCAACACCCTTGCCTTTTCGCCATCCCCTATGGACGCTCTTTCCCCCCACATGGACAAACCTTATGAAATCTTGCCTTTTATGAACTTTAGATGTATGAAATGTGTTTTCTGATTTCTTTGTGTGGCAGAAGCCTTTCCCCTTTTCCTCTGCCCTTTGTTTCCCCTATATACATGAAGAAACTCCACCAAAGGGACTACAAAGCCCCAAACATTCCAGGAATTTTTTTATCCACAACTTCGTTTTGCATGAACAATAGCCTGGGCAGCTGGTGGCTCTCGGAGGAATTGCCCAGCCCTCAGCTTGCCCCTTTGGCAAAAATCTTAATCATATTTCCTCCTGAAGGACAAAAGGTCTTCGAAAAACCTTTTGCCTTTGCTCTGATTAACTCAGCTATCTCCACCAAGAAACAGTCACCCCAGTCTACACATGCAGATTCATTCCACTCAAAGCACAATAGATCAGGCTGGCTTGAGATTTCCCCTTTGTCTCGCCGGCCACATGGCATTATTTTTTTCACATTCATTCATAGATTCCTTTGTGTCCTTTCATCCCACCTCCCTCTTTTCTGATTTGCTATCGCCGCTAGATGGCAGAAGCCTCCCCATTGGACCCTGCGGACCGCTGGAGCTTCCTGATTGGTCCGGAGGCACCAGGGGTGGGAGGGCCACCTCCCAGCTGTTCGCCCATTGTCCAATCGCAGTGGAGGGCGGCAGGGAGGCTGGGGCGGGAAGTTTGAACTCTGCAACTTTGAAAACTCTATATAAATGGCTGTATCAAATGTATTTCTTTATGCTTGCATGTGAATGATCACTGCAATTGCATCCGCTTCAGCTGAATCGCACAATAAACCTCGGTGCCACTTTTTCGCCTTGGCAAGAGTCTCATTTCAATTATTAATATCAATAAAATTGCTGGAATCAGGCTTCTCTGACGGCTTGCCAAGGACAAGGGACTATCTTTGGTGCGGTCCTAGGGGTTTCTCTTACTGGGGAGACCCTCCTAAAGTCTGTATTGACTTCATCCCTATGGATGTCCCGGTCCTCAAACACTCTCTGCTTCATTCGGGAAAATGCTGCACTTGCAGAGCTCAGGCGGTGTTGTATTAATAACTAAGAATAAGAATACATCATGGACTTTGAAGGGAAAAGGGCCAAAATAACAATAAAAGCACTAATATTAATAATTATTAATCAACTATTAATATTAATAACAATATAAATATTGTTATAACTGATTACAACAATAACAATATTGAGTCAGAGTAGGAGGAGGCCGAATTAAAAACATAAAAAAGGAATAAAAATTGAGAAATTGGAGGAAAGTTCAAATGAATGGAGGAAACTCACGCTGCAATGTTGGGGCGCGGCCACTCGAGGGAGCAAGAGAGCAATGCCACAGGGCATTGAGCCTGTGGGAGACGTTCTAGGAGACGCCTCTCACAGAGCCTGCTCATAGATAAACAAAGGATAGAGCGTCATCAGGCGAACTCCTTGGCATCTGTTCTCGGAGGGCGGGAGGGGTTGGAAACTCCTGAACGGAGGGGCGTGGCTTAGCAGGCCCCGCCTCCCAGAACGCGGCAGAGGCTTCTGGGAGTTGGAGTCCAAAAGCGTATCTGGGGAAGATGGGCTGGGAAGGGTTCCCTAGAGGGCATCCAGTCGGACCCCAAGTAATTACAAAATAGGAAAGAAATGCTCTCAAGCCATAGAAATTCTATATAGTTGTAGAATCACATTTGGAAGGCACCACAAGGGATATTCTAGTAAGAAATCAATAATAATAATAATAATAATAATAATAATAATAATAATAATAATAATAGCTCTTAAATAATAATTCTGATAATAAAAACAATGTGTTAGAAACATAAAGTTCTGAAAGACCACAAGGATTCATCAATAATAATAATAATAATAATAATGGGGCTGCTGAGTTTTCTGGGCTGTCTGGCCACGTTCCAGAAGCATTCTCTCCTGACATTTCACCCACATCTATGGTAGGCGTCCTCAGAGGTTGTGAGTTCTGTTGGAAACTAGGCAAGTGGGGTTTATAGATCTGTGGAATGTCCAGGGTGGGAGAAAGAACTCTTGTCTGTTGAAAGCAAGTGTGAATGTTGCAATTGGCCACCTTGACTAGCACTGAATGGCCTTGCAGCTTCAAAGCATGGCTGCTTCCTGCCCGTGGGAATCCTAGGTTTGTATATCTGTGGAGGGTGGGAGAAAGATCTCTTGTCTGTTGGAGGCAAGTGTGAATGTTGCAATTGGCCACTTTGATTAGCGCTGAATGGCCTTGCAGCTTCAAAGCATGGCTGCTACCTGCCTGTGGGAATCCTTTGTTGGGAGGTGGCCCTGATTGTTTCCTGTCTGAAATTCCCCCCGCAGACAAATTCAACCAGAGAAGTCAGCCATAGCAGACCACCTGATGAACCAACCTAGATACGGCATATTATTTTGAGAACACAGAAGTGCTGGACCACTCTCACAACCACCAAGTCAGACTACACAGAGAAGCCACTGCAATCCACACACATGTGGATGTATTCCACATTGGGCATGCATATTCAGCAGAGTAGCAAAGTGGAAGGGCAGATGTCTTCACTGTGTCTGGTTGTGATCCTCAGGTTGTGCCAGTCAGCTTTCATATATTATTTCTAGCATCCACTTTTTGCTGAATAGTCAGGCAGTGCATCTTGTAAGTCTGAGTCCAGCCCAGAGTAACTCCCAGTTATGCTCCAGTGGGATTCCTTCCCAGGTAATCCTCAAAGCTCAAGATGTTAGTCTGTTCTTAAGGTGAAAAGCACACGTCTTCAGTTTAGTTGTGTTAGGAATTAGCTGGGTTTCCCTGTAATAGGCAATAAGGGTACCTAGAGCTTTGAAGAGCTTCTGTTCAACCATTGGAAAGTTCCTTGCTTGAGCGGTGATGGCACGATCATCAGCATAGATGAAACTCTCTGTCCCTTCTGGCAGTGGCTGGTCATTTGTGTAGATGTTGAACATGGTTGGGGCAAACACGCTCCCCTGAGGCAGGCCGTTCTTCTGTTTCCACCATCTGCTTCTCTGGCCCTAGAACTCAACAAAAAAGCTCCTGTTTTGTAGCAGGTTTCCTATGAGGCGGGTGAGGTGGTCGTCCTTTGTGATATTATACATTTTCCTCAGGTTGAGAACAGGTTGAGACTCTATGAATACAATGACGTAAGTTGTTGTTTATTCGTTTAGTCGCTTCCAACTCTTTGTGACCTCATGGACCAGCCCACACCAGAGCTCCCTGTCGGCCGTCACCACCCCCAGCTCCTTCAAGGTCAAGCCAGTCACTTAAAGGTTTGTACCTACATGGCTTGATGGATCTGGACCAAACCTGGCACTTATTATTATTATGATTATGATTATGATTATTATTATTATTATTATTATTATTCCTATTTTGCTATATCTATTAAAAAGAGACCCAACAATAGAAGCAATACAATATATAATTTTAAACCATAAAAAACTTACAACCATTCATTTGAAACATACTCCTCAGGATCCATATTAAAATAATTAAGGGAGTTTGAATTAAAGAGAAAAAAAGAGCAGAAGGAAATAACACAAAGAAAGGGAGGAGAAAAGGGGAAAGAAAGGAAGGGAGGAGGGAAGAAAGAAAAAGGAGGGAAGGAAGGAAGAGAAAGAAAAAAGATACACGGGAAGGCAAGAAGGAGAAACTAGGGATGAGGAAGGGAAGGGACGAGGAAAGGAAGGGAAGGAATGAGGAAGAGAAGGGAAGGGATGAATGAGGAAGGGAAGGGATGAGGAAGGGAAGGGATGAATGAGGAAGGGAAGGGAAGGAATGAGGAAGGGAAGGGAAAAGGAAGGGAAGGGATGAGGAAGGGAAGGGATGGAGAAGGGAAGATAAAGAAAGGAAGGGTGATAGAAAGGATGGGGAGAAAGAAAAAGGGAAGGAAGGAAGAGCCAACAATGTGATGTGGCGGCAAAAAAGCCAATGGGATTTTGGCCTGCATCAAGAGGAGCATAGTGTCTAGATCTAAGGAAGAAGGGAAGGCATGCAGGAAGAGATAGAGAATAGGAAGAAAAAAAAAACCCTATGTTGAGTTGATAAGGGTTGAAGGATGGAGATAGGAAAAAGAGTGTGACACTAGTGTAGAAGAGGCCAAAGAAAAAGATCTTGGAGTCCTCGTGGACAACAAGTTAAACATGAGCCAACAATGTGATGTGGCGGCAAAAAAAGCCAATGGGATTTTGGCCTGCATCAATAGGAGCCTAGTGTCTAGATCTAGGGAAGTCGTTCTCCCCATGCTCTATTCCGCTTTGGTTAGACCACACCTGGAATATTGTGTCCAATTCTGGGCACCACAATTCAAGAGAGATATTGACAAGCTGGAATGTGTCCAGAGGAGGGTGACTAAAATGATCAAGGGTCTGGAGAACAAGCCCTATGAGGAGCGGCTTAAGGAGCTGGGCATGTTTAGCCTGAAGAAGAGAAGGCTGAGAGGAGATATGATAGCCATGTATAAATATGTGAGAGGAAGCCACAGGGAGGAGGGAGCAAGCTTGTTTTCTGCTTCCTTGGAGACTACGATGCAGAACAATGGCTTCAAACTACAAGAAGGAGATTCCATCTGAACATTAGGAAGAACTTCCTGACTGTGAGAGCTCAGCAGTGGAACTCTCTGCCCCGGAGTGTGGTGGAAGCTCCTTCTTTGGAAGCTTTTAATCAGAGGCTGGATGGCAATCTGTCAGTGGTGCTTTGAACACAATATTCCTGCTTCTTGGCAGAATGGGGTTGGACTGGATGGCCCATGAGGTCTCTTCCAACTCTTTGATTCTATGATTCTAAGAGAAAGGAAAAGCAAAAACGGGAGGGAGGGAAGGAAAGAAGAAAGAAAGGATGAAGGAAGGGAGGGAATTAAAAAAGGAAGGGAAGGAAGAAAGGAAGGAAGAAGAGGGGAAAGCATATGAGGGAGCTGGAGAAAGGAATAAAAGAGCCACAAAGAAAATGTGTGCATACATACACACTTTCTGTGTGTGTGTATGTGTGTACAGTAGTCTCACTTATCCGACCTATGCTTATCCAACATTCAATCTTATCCAACACTCTTATCTGACATCCCCCTTTTACGTTGTTTACGTTGGATAAGCGAGACTCTACTGTGTATATATACACACACAAACACATATGCTAGTACTGTGACTATGCGTTGAAAGCAATCTTGACCATATGGGTTATTTCCTCCAGAACTAGGTCCTAACCTTTGTAGGAGTTGTTAAGTTTTCTTTGAACAACTTTGGACAACCCCATAACTAGTGTAAAAACAAAGGAAGTCCTGCAAAAAGTCATGAGCCGTGATCCACATCATGTCCATCTCCTGGGGTCTGCTTTCCTGGAGAGAGACTGTTGACCACAAGGGACCAAATGGACTCAGCATAAGGCAACACCTACCAGTCCCAAGTCCTTCTAGCAGCAGCGAACCTATTTGGAGCAGTCCAAACCCTATATCATTCCCTGTCTGATTTACATCCTGATCCTGAGTGGAAGCCTTTCGGTCAAGGCTTTCCTTCCCCCCAGAGACGGCCCTAGGTAATTTTCAACGGTAAGCAAACAGTATTTTGGCATCCCCCCCCCCCCAACCAATCATTGATATATATTTTGGGCCACCCGCAGATTGGGGAGAGGAGAGGAGGCCGGTGGAGTGCCGGAGGATCGGAAAAGGGAGCCGGTCATGGGGAAGGGATCGAACGCGGAGAACGATTAAGCGCCGGCTCTGCTCGCGCACCCGGTGGCTGGGTGGAGCAGGAACGAGAGGGGCTAGGCGAGGCTCAAGGGCCCGGCCCCTCTGGGAAAAGGATCGCCCGGCAGCGAGGCAAGAAAGCCGAGGCTCCCCCCGGACTGCTCGGGCTGTTGTGAGCTGAGGGGGCGCTCCTCAAGTGGCGGTCGAGGGGCATTTACAGAGGCGCCTCTGCGCCCCTGGCAAAAAAAGTGTTCTGCGACCGCTTACTTCGCGTAATGGACGAGCCGCCCCTTCTTCCCCCACAGTCCATAAGCAGAGGCATATAGTTCTTTATGACTTAATGGAGATACAGAGTCAGCACCGTCGGGGCGAAGAGGGGTACCGGACCTTCAGATCCTGCTTGAATTGCCGGAAGAGCCCTTTGTTGCGCTGGTTTTCGGCGTCCTTTTGTGGGTGGAACTCGCCAGACACTTTGAAGCCCTTGTGGACCAGGAAGGCGTCACTCAGGACCGAGAAGTGGAAGCCCGCCACGTGCAGCTCACAAGCCTTTTTTGGGGTAGAAAACAACAACAACATGAAGAAGTTACAACAGCACATCCTGCAATGTGTTTTAAATGCCTTTCTCCTCCATTAGTACCATCACAACAACCCTAGAGCCGCTGGGCCTCAGTCATCTAGCCATGACATCATAATATCATCATCATCATCATCATCATCATCATCATCATCATCATTATTATTATTCTGACCCATTTAAGGTGGAATCAGGTGTCAAATAGGGATGTGTTATTGCCCCAGCTCTATTTTCCATCTGCGAAGTCTGCATGCACCAGTTGTACAATTGTGCCAATTGCGAAGGTGCTATTCCAACAACAGACAAGGTATAGGGTTTTTAACTCTAAAGAACCCACCCTCTGACACCAATTGCACAGACTGTTCTTAAATTCTGCCACCAATTATTCAGGTCTGGATGATTATGGATGTAATTAATCTCAGGCCTCAATTGTTGATAAGAATTTCTTGTAGGGGAGGCCAATTATTACTTGTAGATTAAGGTAACTGCCACCAATGTGAGGTATCGCCGATGAGAACTGGCTCCCCTGACGCAGATTAATGGAGATGACACGGTCTTCAACAAAAGTTAATAAGTTTATTTTGTACAAAGCGTATGGTTGCAGGCTGTTAAATAACTTGGGATAACTTATAGAACTTTGAATGTAACTTGGTTTGCAATACAGTTCACTCTTCTAAATGACACAACTGGTGATTGTCTTTTACTGAGGTGAAGCACTTTATTAAAAAATGTTTCCTAATGTGAATAGCCTTCCAATTTGATCCTTACCTGATCAAATCCCAGATCCCTAGTCCTTCCCTGACTAGTGATCTAAACAAGCTTCCCTTAGTCCTCTCTGACTAAAGAAACTATTTAGGTTTCTCCCTTCAGCCTTCCTAGACTGAAGAAAACTCCGGCTATACACACACTGCTCTCCACTCTCCACTCTCCTCTCTCAACTTCTAACTCCCAACTCCAACTCTAAACTCTCAACTGCCAACCCTCAACTAACTCTTTTCAAAGACGCAGATAACATTTTCTTGCTTGGCTCCGCCCACTTCTCACTCTCCTGCCTGGTCTCCTTGGCAACGCTACTGTGGATACAACCAGTTAACTCTAGTTTCAGCTACTGTTACCAACACAAACATATTCTAACAGTTAAACATATACACAGTATCAATGACTTCTGCACACCATCTTCATTCATCTTGTCCAGAGGAGGGCGACTAAAATGATCAAGGGTCTGGAGAACAAGCCCTATGAGGAGCGGCTTAAGGAGCTGGGCATGTTTAGCGTGAAGAAGAGAAGCCTGAGAGGAGATATGATAGCCGTGTATAAATATGTGAGAGGAAGCCACAGGGAGGAGGGAGCAAGCTTGTTTTCTGCTTCCTTGGAGACTAGGACGCGGAACAATGGCTTCAAACTACAAGAGAGGAGATTCCATCTGAACATTAGGAAGAACTTCCTGACTGTGAGAGCCGTTCAGCAGTGGAACTCTCTGCCCCGGAGTATGGTGGAGGCTCCTTCTTTGGAAGCTTTTAAGCAGAGGCTGGATGGCCATTTGTCAGGGGTGATTTGAATGCAATATTCCTGCTTCTTGGCAGGGGGTTGGACTGGATGGCCCATGAGGTCTCTTCCAACTCTTTGATTCTATGATTCTATGATTCTAAAGCCAAAACCAAGGTCACAACAACATTGTTATCGAACGCCAATATGCCGATGATAACGTAGTCTGTGCACATTCAGAAGAAGACCTACAAGCCACTCTAAACACATTTGCAGAAGCATACGAGAAGTTCGGCCCTCAATAAACATTTAGAAAACCAAAGTGCTCTTCCAGCAGTCACCGGCCAATCCCTCTGCAATGCAAGAAATACAGCTGAATGGTGTAACATTAGAAAATGTGGACCATATCCACTCCCTTGGCAGCCACCTCTCCACAAAAGTCAACATTGACACTGAAATACAATACGGTCTGAGCTCTGTGAGTGCAGCATTCTTCTGAATGAAGCAGAGAGTGTTTGAGGATTGGGACATCCGTAGGGAGGGCTATTGTCCTCCCAACCCTGTTATACGCCTGCGAAACGTGGACTGTCTACAGATGTCACACTCAACTCCTGGAACGATTCAATCAGCACTGCCTTTGAAAAATCCTGCAAATCTCTTGGGAAGACAGGCAGACAAATGTCAGCATGCTGGAAGAAGCAAAGACCACCAGCATTGAAGTGATGTTCCTAGACAATCAACTCAACTGGACTGAATGCCCCGTTGTTTGAATGCCTAATCACCATCTCCCAAAGCAGTTACTCTACTCCCAACTCAAGAACAGAAAACAGAATTGTCGAAGGCTTTCATGGCCGGAATCACTGGGTTGTTGTAGGTTTTTTCAGGCTATATGGCCATGTTCTAGAGGCATTCTCTCCTGACGTTTCGCCTGCATCTATGGCAAGCATCCTCAGAGGTAGTGAGGTCTGTTGGAACTAGAAAAAAGGGTTTATATATTTGTGGAATGACTACAAATCAAGGAACATGAAAGGCACTGCAGACTACTTCAACCAGAGAAGTCAGCCATAGCAGAGCACCTGATGAACCAACCTGGACACAGCATATTATTTGAGAACACAGAAATGCTGGACCACTCTCACAACCACCATGTCAGACTACACAGAGAAGCCATTGAAATCCACAAGCATGTGGACAATTTCAACAGAAAGGAGGAAACCATGAAAATGAACAAAATCTGGCTACCAGTATTTAAAAAACTCTAAAATTACAACAGCACAACAACAGAGAGGAAACAAACAAAGACAGGTAATCACCTCTCAACAAAAGATTGCTCTAGGCACTGCCAGGCCATCAAATGCTAATCAAGGTGGTCAGTTGAAACATTCACACCTAGCTCCAACAGACAAGAGTCCTTTGTCCCACCATGGTCATTCCACAGATATATAAACCCATTTTCCTAGTTCCAACAGACCTCACAACCTCTGAAGATGCTTGCCATAGATGCAGGCGAAACGTCAGGAGGGAATGCCTCTAGAGCATGGCCATATAGCCTGAAAAAACCTACAACTCAGAAAACAGAATGTTGGTGGAGAGGAAAAGAGATTTAAAGATGGACTTAAAGCCAACCTTAAAAACTGTGGCAGAGACACCAAGAACGAACTGGGAAGTGCTGGCACTGAGTGCTCTAATTGGAGGTCAGCTGTGACCAGCAGTGCTGCGGAATTTGAAGAGGCAGGAATGGAGGGCAAAAGGGAGAAATGTGCCAAGAGCCAGCCCTTATTGTGACCGCCTTCCACCTGGAAACTGATGTCCTCACTGTGGAAGAACATGCAAGTCACGAATAGGGCTCTACAGTCACCTACGTATCCACTCCAAGACACTACACTTGGAAAGCTGTTGTCCTCGGACTACAAGCAATCACCTAAGTAAGTATCCTGTTTCTCCAAAAATAAAACATCCTCTGAAAATAAGACATTGTAAAGGTTTCCCTGAATTGCAAACTATAAGGCCTTCCCTGAAAGTAAGACCTAGCAAAGTTTTTGTTTGGCAGCATGCTCCCCCTGGTGGCCGGAAGCTGCAATACTATCCAGACAATGTGTGAGACCCAGGTACTTTACAGCCCTTATTTTTTGTGGCCCTGTGTGTGAGGGCCAGTATATTTATTATATAGTGACAACTATATAGTAAGTAGTGATAACAGTATATAATAAATGGTTTTTTTTCGACCAATAAATGTGCATTCTTCTTCATGGAAAAATAAGTCATCCCCTGAAAATAAGACCTAGTGCATCAAAAATTAAGATACAACACTGTCTTATTTTTGGGAAAATGGTATATTATTCTGAGTGATATAATAAATGTTCTTTTTTTTCAACCAATAAATGTGCGTTCTTCTTCATGGAAAAATAAGTCATCCCCTGAAAATAAGACCTAGTGCATCAAAAATTAAGATACGACACTGTTTTATTTTTGGGGAAACGGTATATTATTCTGAGTGATATAATAAATGTTCTTTTTTTTCAACCAATAAATGTGCGTTCTTCTTCATGGAAAAATAAGTCATCCCCTGAAAATAAGACCTAGTGCATCAAAAATTAAGATACGACACTGTCTTATTTTTGGGAAAACGGTATATTATTTTTTCAACCAATAAATGTGCGTTCTTCTTCATGGAAAAATAAGTTATCCCCTGAAAATAAGACCTATTGCATCAAAAATTAAGATATGACACTGTCTTGTTTTTGGGAAAATGATACATTATTTTTTCAACCAATAAATGCACGTTCTTCTTCATGGAAAAATAAGTCATCCCCTGAAAATAAGACCTAGTGCATCAAAAATTAAGATACGACACTGTCTTATTTTTGGGAAAATGGTATATTATTCTGAGTGATATAATAAATGTTCATTTTTTTTTCACCAACAAATGTGCGTTCTTCTTCATGGAAAAATAAGTCATCCCCAGAAAATAAGACCTAGTGCATCTTTGAGATCAAAAATTAAGATACGACACTGTCTTATTTTTGGGGAAACGGTATATTATTCTGAGTGATGACCTGTAGCTGCCTGCAAATGAAACGGACGCTTTACCTGGCTGATGCGGTTGAAGCCATACTGTTTGAACCGCTCGTCGTACGGCGGCACTGATGGGGGTCCAATGTAGAAGGGTTCCCAGGGGTCCTTCCACTCCACATCGTAGGCCACATGGAGGGGTCCTCCGGCCGGGAGGTTGACCCACCGGGAATAGTTGGTGGGAGCCTGGCAGCGGGGGCAGAGCTCCTCGTAGAAGGGCCGGGTCTCGCCCACCTGGTAGAGCCGCAGCAGCTCCGCCTTGCTGCCGGGGATGCGCCGCGTGTGGCGGATCTCGAAGGCCGGCACCACAAAGACCCCCGGCATCGCCACCTCGTTCTGCAAGGCCAGGAAGGCCTCTCGCAGGCCTTCACTGGGCACCATATCCATGTCTACGACTAGAGCCCACTGGTTGCCCACGGCCTTCTTTGCCACGTTCCGCAGTAAGTTGTTGGGGTACGATGCGTTGGCGCCGTAGTTGTGCCAATGGGAGCCTATCCGCGCCAGCTTGGCGAAGACGTCCCCGCAGGTCTGAAGGCGGGCAAAATCCCTGGCTCCTGATTCAGGGAAAGCGGCCACCTGGTTTGCGTGGCACACCAAATGCAGCCGGATCAATTGCCGAAGGGGCGAGCAAAGGGCGGCGATGGCGTAGATCGTGGCAGTGGCCAAGCGGACCTCGGCCGCGCCGGGGGCGAAAACGGCAACCGAGAAGGGACCCTGCCACCGCTCGGCCAGGCGCTGGGCATGGTGCAGGTTGCCCAAGCTGGTGTGAGTGACCAGCACCACGTCCTGGCTCCGCTGGCCATCCCAATCGCCCCGCAGCATGTCCCGGTAGATGCGGTATTGACCGCTGGCGTCCAAGAGGCCCCCACTGGCCAGGACCCGCTTGAGCCGCTCTTTGTGTCCATCGTGAGGCACTGCCCGGCGTCCCTGGAAGAGTTCGGCATAGCGGGAGCGTTGATCTTGCCCATGAAGGCCCGAAAGGAGGGCTAGATATAGCAGCTGCAAGCCAGCCACCAAAGCCAAGGCAGCCACCAATGCCTGGAAGCAGGAGCAGTGCATGGGCACAAGAAGGAAAGGGATTATGGGCTATGGAGTCCTTAAACTTGGCCCATCAGTCTGGCTATCCTTCTCCCCCTTTTGCAAAGCAAAGGCAGTGTCATGAGCAGACCAGCTCACAAGCCCAAATTCAGAGGGAAGTCCTTCCCACATGCCAGCCTTGGCATGGCAATGCTCTCCCAGCTGGCTCTCTGCAAAGCTTTGCTAAGACTGGGGAAATGTGAACTACTACGCATGCGCAGTCGGAGACGAATCACTCTTTCTCTCTCTCTGGCGCCCTCTCTGGCAGGAAGAGCGCACCACATCAACATTAGATCATTACCTATAGGGCAAAGTGGAAAGCGACTTTCCACGCCAGTGCGCGTGCGCGGAGACGAGCAACAATCTTTCTCTCTGGCGCCCTCTCTGGCAGGAGAAAAGCACTGCAGCAACATTACATTATCGAGCAAAGGACAAGAAAAGCAATGCGCATGCGCGCGGAGGCGAGGAAAAGAACGCTCTCTGGCGCCCTCTCTGGCAGGAGAAAAGCACTGCAGCAACATTACATGAGCGAGCAAAGAAAAGAAAAGCAATGCGCATGAGCGCGGAGGCGAGGAAAAGAACGCTCTCTGGCGCCCTCTCTGGCAGGAGGAAGCACTGCAGCAACATTACGTTATCGAGCAAAGTAAAAGGAAAGCAATGCGCATGCGCGCGGAGGCGAGGAAGAAAGCGCTCTCTGGCGCCCTCTCTGGCAGGAGGAAGCACTGCAGCAACATTACGTTATCGAGCAAAGTAAAAGGAAAGCAATGCGCATGCGCGCGGAGGCGAGGAAAAGACCGCTCTCTGGCGCCCTCTCTGGCAGGAGGAAGCACTGCAGCAACATTATTTACTGCATTTGTTGACCGCCGTTCTCAGCCCTAGGGCGACTCACGGGGTTTAGATTGCTAAGTTCTCTCACACCAGAATTCTCTCACACCAGAAGCGACTTGCAGTTTCTCAAGTCGCTCCTAACACAACAAAAAAACCCCAAAACTGGTTCTCAACCTTCCTAATGCCACAACCCTTTAAGACAGTTCTTCATGTTGTGGTGACCCCCAACCAAAACATCATGTTATGAATCATAATGTAAATATCTGATCTGCAGGATGTATTTTCATTCACTGGACCAAATTTGGCCCAAATTTGAATACTGGTGGAGTTGGAGGGAATTGATTTTGTCATTTGGGAGTTGTAGTTGCTGGGATTTATAGTTCATCTGCAATCAAAGAGTATTCTGAACTCCACCAACGATGGAATTGAACCAAGCTTGGCACACACAACTCCCACGGCCCACAGAAAATACTGGAAGGGTTTGGTGGGCATTGACCTTGAGTTTTGGGAGTTGTAGATCATCTACATCCAGAGAGCACTGTGGAATCAAACTGATGGGTCTGGACCAAATTTGGCAGAAATCCTCAATATGCCCAAATGTGAACACTGGTGGAGTTTGGGGAAAACAGACCTTGACATTTGAGAGTTGAAGTTGCTGGGATTTATAGTTCACTTACAATTAAAGAGCATTCTGAACCCCACCAATGACAGAATTGGGCCAAACATCCCACACAACCCCCATGACCAATAGAAAATACTGTGTTTTCCGATGGTCTTTGGTGACCCTTTTTACATCCCCCCCCCCCCCCCCCCCCCGGATCCTGACCCCCAGGTTGAGAAATGCTGGGCTAAATAGTCTCTTCCAACTCTAATCATCATCATCATCATCATCATCATCATCATCATCACATTTCTCTTTTAAGGAATAGACTGGATGGTCACCTGTTGGGAGGGCTTTGATTGTGTTTTTCTGAATGGCAGAATAGGGTTGGGTTGGAGCACCCCTGGGGTCTCTTCCCATTCTATAGTGTAATATAGACTGCCTGGGAGTCCAGTAAAGTCTCCTTCTCTGGAGGTTTCTAAGCACAGGCTAGATGGCCATATACTGGCATATGGCATGCATCTCCTTGACACAATGGTGGAACAGTGGCTTCAAACTCCAAGAAAGGAGATTCCATCTGAACATTAGGAAGAACTTCCTGACTGTGAGAGCCGTTCAGCAGTGGAACTCTCTGCCCCGGAGTGTGGTGGAAGCTCCTTCTTTGGAAGCTTTGAAACAGAGGCTGGATGGCCATCTCTCAGGGGTGCTTTGAATGCAATATTCCTGCTTCTTGGCAGGGGTTTGGACTGGATGGCCCATGAGGTCTCTTCCAACAATAGGATTCTATGATTCTATGACACCTTGACAGCATCATCTTTCAAGATATGGCAGGTTAAGCCCTAATGGTCATTCCCTTTGCCGCCCTCTTGCGGACATAGGAATATTTGCACTTGCCTTGAGATTCTGATTTGTAATCCTTTGCTGCCATCAAGTGGCCAGTTAGGGAAGTGCACCCTTGAGCTTTTTTACAGGGAAAACCAGCTGATCCCTAACCCATCCAAAACACAGACATGTGGCTTTCATCTCAAGAACAGACAAGCATCCCGAGCTCTGAAGATCACCTGGGAAGGAATCCCACTGGAGCACTGCACCGCACCCAAATACCTGGGAGTCACTCTGGACCGTGCTCTGACCTACAAGAAGCACTGCCTGAACATCAAACAAAAAGTGGGCGCTAGAAACAATATCATACGAAAGCTGACTGGCACAACCTGGGGATCACAACCAGACACAGTGAAGACATCTGCCCTTGCGCTATGCTACTCTGCTGCTGAGTACGCATGCCCAGTGTGGAACACATCTCACCACGCTAAAACAGTGGATGTGGCTCTTAATGAGACATGCCGCAATATCACGGGGTGTCTGCGCCCTACACCACTGGAGAAATTACACTGCTTAGCCGGTATTGCACTACCTGACATCCGCCGGGAAGTAGCAAGCAATAGTGAAAGGACCAAGGCAGAGACATCTCCAGCTCATCCCCTGTTTGGGTATCAGCCAGCACGCCAACGACTTAAATCAAGACATAGTTTTCTAAGATCTACAGAGACACTCGCTGGAACACCTCAGCAAGCGAGAGTCCAAAAGTGGCAGGCTCAAACCCAGAACCTCAATCAATGGCTGATACCAAATGAGACTCCCTCCTGGGCACACAGAGGACTGGGCGACTTGGAAGGCGCTGAACAGACTGCGCTCTGGCACCACGAGATGCAGAGCCAACCTTCAGAAATGGGGCCACAAAGTGGAATCCTCGCCATGCGAGTGTGGAGAAGAGCAAACCACTGACCACCTGCTGCAATGCAACCTGAGCCCTGCCACATGCACAAGGGAGGACCTTCTTGCAGCAACACCAGAGGGACTCCAAGTGGCCAGATACTGGTCAAACTACCAAACTCACAAATTTTGTGTTTTCTCTGTTTGTTTGCTTTGCTCTGTTAGAAATGTAATATAATTGACTGCCCTGACACGACAAGCTATTATAAAACCGCTGTTGAAGAAACCATCACTGGACCACACTAAATTCGACAACTATCGGCCAGTTTCCAATCTCCCCTTCTTGGGCAAAGTCTTGGAACGTGTGGTGGCCTCACAACTCCAGGTATTCTTGGTAGACACGGATTATCTAGACCCGGCACAGTCTGGCTTTAGGCCGGGACATGGTACCGAGACAGCCTTGGTCGCCTTAGTGGATGATCTGCGCCGGGAGCTCGACAGGGGGAGTGTGTCCCTGTTGGTGCTGCTGTGACCTCTCAGCGGCCTTCGATACCGTCGACCACGGTATCCTTCTGGGACGCCTCGCAGGGATGGGTCTTGGAGGTACTGTTTTGCAGTGGCTCCGGTCATTCCTGGAGGGTCGATCTCAGAAGGTGTTGTTGGGGGACACCTGTTCAACCCCACAACCATTGTCTTGTGGGGTCCCTCAGGGCTCAATATTGTCTCCCATGTTGTTTAACATCTACATGAAGCCGCTGGGGGAGATCATCCAGAGTTTCGGGGTACGGTGTCATCTGTACGCAGATGACGTCCAACTCTATCACTCCTTTCCACCTGCTACTAAGGAGGCTGTCCAGGTCCTGAACCGGTGCTTGGCCGCTGTGACGGTCTGGATGAGGGCGAACAAATTGAAATTGAATCCAGACAAGACAGAGGTCCTCCTGGTCAGTTGCAAGGCCGAACAGGGCATAGGGTTACAGCCTGTGTTGGATGGGGCCGCACTCCCCCTGAAGACGCAGGTTCGCAGCTTGGGTGTGACCCTGGACTCATCGCTGAGCCTGGAACCCCAGGTTTCGGCGGTAACCAGGGGAGCATTTGCACAGCTAAAGCTTGTGCGCCAGCTGCGCCCGTACCTTGGGAAGTCTGACTTGGCCACGGTAGTCCACGCTCTGGTTACATCCCGTTTAGACTACTGCAACGTTCTCTACGTGGGGTTGCCTTTGAAGACAGCTCGGAAGCTCCAACTAGTCCAACGCTCGGCAGCCATGATTTTAACAGGAGCGGAGCGCAGGGAGCATACAACCCCCTGTTGCGCCAACTCCACTGGCTACCGATCTGCTACCGGGCTGAATTCAAAGTGCTGGCGTTGGCCTTTAAAGCCCTAAACGGTTCCGGCCCAAGATACCTATCTGACCGCATCTCTGCCTATGAACCCACCAGGACTTTGAGATCTTCCAGGGAGACCCTGCTCTCGATCCCGCCTGCTTCTCAAGCTCGGCTGGCGGGGACGAGAGATAGGGCCTTCTCGGTGGTGGCTCCTCGGCTGTGGAACGCCCTTCCTACGGACATTAGACTAGCACCATCTCTAATGGTATTCCGCAAAAAGGTGAAGACCTGGATGTTTGTGCAGGCGTTTGAGTAATTTAGTGCAATCTGGTAATGGAACATAGGAATGGAACAATGGACGACGAACCTGGACTACGCTTGGATGATGAGAAGATTGTGTACGGTTGTTTTTTGTAATAATTGTGCATTGTAATTGCTTATTGGTAATTTATGGATAATGTGTTAAGTCAATTGTTATATGTTGCATGGAACCACTGCTGTTTCTACTGTTTTTACTGTTTGTGAACCGCTGTGAGTCGCCTTCGGGCTTGAGATACAGCGGTATATAAGCAAAGTAAATAAATAAATAAATAAAATAAAATAAATAAATAAATAAATAAAATGCTATGGCAGGTTAAGCCCTAATGGGCATTCCCTTTGCCGCCCTCTTGCGGACACAGGATTATTTGCACTTCCTTTTTATCTGCAATACTTTGCTGCCATCAAGTGGTCAGGTAGG